TTTTGGTGGGGGAAAGAGGTGTTAACGAGCACGCGTTAGATCGAAGATATTGTTAATAGATGGTGAGTAATTGGTGGGATGAGATAGATATTGGGTCAATTCCAACTTTTTTCTAACATTTCATCGGATTGCTTCCCAAGGCACCAGAAAGGACAATGCGGATCATTAGATGAGGAGAGTGATGAGGAGAGTGAATCAAGTGATGATGTAGGTTTCAATAGATAGGTTAGCTGATTATGTTAGTTCACAATGTCAACGCAATAAATGTCTAAGTAGGTACCTCAAGTAGTACAGAAACTAGCATCACATCTAACCTTACCTAACTAAACTCGGGACATCTTCGGTCTTTATGAACGGCCTTTACTTATGTCTAGTCTGGTAGTAAGTAAGTACTTACTCCCTATACACTAAAAACCTCTCCTTGATTGGAGGCTTAAGGTTCATCATGTTCGTACTTAGGTATCTCCTTTAGGAGTCCAAGGGAGTTAGGTTGGACGCCTCGTGATCTGAAAGCATACCTAATTACTTCCTAGACAACAGCTAACCCAATCCCTCCCACGTATGTTGCTTGTTGGTTTACTTTCTCCCCCTTATTCTACTCAAGAATGGTGTCAAGTACTGATTCAAGGCAATAAATGGCCATGCGGAAGGGAAACGGAACATCGGGGCTGGATATACCAGCATATCATTTTGTGGGTGGCCGGTGGCGGTGGCAGCAACAACGAAGTTGCTTGCCAGGGCCACCGAAATTGCCAATTGTCATTGTTCATTGCTTGCTCACCCCCACGCTCTCCTGCCAGTTGTGTTGTTGAAGTTCCACCCTTACTCCCTGTTTATATAGATGAGTACCTATGTAGACAGGTAGACAGGTAGGCGAAGGTTAACCTCCGTCTATATCCCTGTCTGTTTACCACCCATTCATTCCCACTGACTTGCTCGTCATCAGCCTTTCCTATCACTCGAATTCTCGCTATAGAGCATCCCGCCCTCCATGCATGATCCACGCCCCTATCAATCAACAGACTGTTGAGGTCTTGTTATCACATGTAGTCCCAGCCTCGCCCGTACCCATGCAATTGAAAACAAACATCACCTTCGTCATCAAAAAGAAAGAAACACTCGCCATTCCCTGGGGTATCGTTGAGATATGATGCAGCCCTTTTGCAGCCTGACCCGTTTCCCAGGTTCATTTGCCTAAAACCCATAAAGCCCACTCGTCAAGAACTTTTGTTGAAAAAATGTGGACTCCGGATTTCCACTCCCCCCAAAACGCCGCCAAGTAATGCTTGTTGAAATATGAAATGTGAAAACCCCCTCTGATGTTTGCTGGCGGGATTCTATGCTTGTTGAAACAACCCAATTACGCCATATCCCTTTATCGTCGCTGTACTCTACACTGAACCTGCTGCGCTGTTGCCGTTAGCAGCGTGGCTACCGTTCGCCTCTTTATGGGTACCGTTCACTTGAACGGGCACGTCAAGGTCCGGGACCGACAACCCATCGAAGAGCTCGAATATGGTCCTTGGTTGATGGAAATCGTTGTTTACTACATAGCGGATATTTGTCAGTATTCTTCAAAGTGATCGGTTTCAAATGAATGGCAGCGATAGACCTACCGATATTCACCAAATACCATCCATTCATGATCTTCTCGATCAACACCCGGCTAGGACTGTTGGCATCATGACAATGCGCCCAATCCGTTCCCAGTCGGAAGGCCTCGTCCTTCCAGGCCAGGAAGCTGATGCTCTCAACTATAGTGGGCTGGACGATCTCCTTACCGGGGAAAACACCCCAGGTGACGGCATTGGGTCCCTCCGAGGGTGCATTGGTCTGGAAGTTACCAGACTGGGTGACAGCATAGTATGAAAGATCAGGGTGAGCTTGAACTCTCCTGATGACTTCACTAAAAATATCAGGAGACACCAGTAGCTCCAAGTACGCCTTCTGGTAGACATATCCGTTGGGGGGACCCCAGCCATGGACTGGATGCGTAGACTTCACTCCATTCACTGCCGGTTGGGAATTGATGGTAAGCAGGCCACGTTGGTTGAGCTTGATAAGATCCTCCTTGATCGAATCAGCCTCGTTCGTCAGTGGCGCCTCACTCCATGGAAGGGAATCAAGATCCTTTTCTAGGTACCGAACGAAAAGATTGGCAATATCCTTGACAGTTTTTGGTTCGCCCCATTTCTTACGGTTAGATTCATTGGTGCCGGTAAGTCCGATTCCATAGGCATCTAACTCGCCGAAAGCAGGCGACCGCGAATCACCCCATCTACCGTTGGGGAACTCGTCCCAGTCCTGCGTTCTAGACACGTACGACTTGCCCCGATTCCGCCAAAAGATAGGTCGCACATCTTCGTCGCGGCGTCCAAAACCGAGAGATTGCTTCCACGGGAGAGCTTGTTTCCGTGAACGACCATTTGTGGGAATCCAGTCCAACTCCTCCAGGACCATGCGTGTTGCTTGCGCAAGGTTCATAGTATAAAAGTGAAGGTGGACAATGCCAGCAGCCATGATCTTGCGGCACAACTCGGCGACCAGGGTCTTGCCAACCTCTCGAACAGCGGCATCATCGTTCTTGATTGGCTCCAGGGCAGCCATCCAGTGGTCGGGGATCTTGCAGTTCATGTGGTTTGCGCGCCTCAGGAAGCTAGCATAGGTTGCAATGGGCATGATACCTGGCACGATGGGAATGGTTATGCCCCTCTCGCGCACCTTGCCCACCCAGCGGACAAAGTTGTCAGCATCGTAGAACATCTGAGTGACAATGAAGGTAGCACCCTGGTCAACCTTCTCCTTTAGGTGGTCCAAGAGCAATTCCTCATCCTTGTTGTCATCGCAACCCTCGGGATATCCGGCAACTCCTATATCGAAGTGGTTTCCGTAGGTCTTCCGGATATAGGCGACTAGATCCTTTGCATACTGAAACCCGCCGTCGGTAGCCACCCACTTCTCTTTCTCTCGCGGGGGATCGCCCCTGAGTGCCAGGATATTGGTGCAACCGGCCTTGTAGGCCTTCTTCAACGCATCACTGACCTTCGCCTCACCCATATCAGTGCAAGTCAGGTGCATGCAAGTCTCCAGACCGAAGAAGGTCTGGGCTTGTAGGACCATATCGCAGGTCAGCTCGGCAATTCGGCCACCAGCACCCCAGGTTATGTCAATGAACTTGGGACCGAAATCGTACATGCGCTCCATACGGTCGTATAGGTTCTGCACACCCTGGGCAGTCTTGGGAGGGAAGTACTCGAAAGAGAAGGACGGCTGGCCGGTCCTCTCAGCCTCTGCAAGCATTTCGCAAATATGCATCTTGACGGTAATATCGTGGAGTAGACAATGGGTGGACTAGAACGGAAGTATGGGAAGAGAAGTGAGGCGAAGATGGGGAAAGACGGAGGGGACAAATTGTGAGAACTATATGGAGAGGGAGTGACAGTTAGCATGCAAGTAATTGGTGGATGTAGAGTGTAGAGCATGCGGGAGGATTGTTCGCTCGTCATGACGCCAAAGGGGAGAGAACCACGGCGCTCCCTCTCCCTCTCCCTCTCTCTCTCCGGCTGGGTGTGATGCGCTTCACATACCTGCAATCTTATATATGGTAGAATACATTCAACTACTACTAACACTCGCTATGCTGGTAGGAAGATGGTGAATTGAATCTCTCCTCCTGCCAACACGCTCGTACACCAGGGAAAGGGGGGTGGATGGTGAGGTAAAAAAGGGTAAAAAGGGAATAGAAATGATGAGAAGGCAGAAGATTTCAATTCTGCAGTCATCAATGGAGGTACTCTTTTGTGAATGGGGTGAGAGGACGCTGTACCGCACCCACAACTCCGGCTCGGGAGGTTATTTGATTGGTTGGAAAGGAGGGTCCAATGCTCTGTCGGCCACTTACAGGTGTCCTACAAGATCCAGGGTACACCTAACTGTTTTGCACAGCACGTTCCCAGATACTTGTCTATACTATACTAGGTAGCGCCCTTTGCCAAACTTAATTCATAGTACTACCTACATATGTAGGTACTAGGTCGTATTTCTCTCTCAGGCTACTAAGTATAAGTAGTAAGTACTTAAGTTTCCAATTGATAGGTATTACGTACCTAAACTAGGTAGGTACTTAGGTAACCTTGTAGACTCTGACATTGAGCGCCCCCCAAAGACCCGCGTACATATAAAGGATGGGATGTGGGATGACAGGAAGCACATGTAAGAAGTATCTTTTTTTTAACCTGGGCCTCTCAGTATTCCCGAGGTCCTCACCTACAGAAGATATATTTTCTTGTTTATCGAGATGACACTTTGTAAATGCAAACTTGGCCGACCTATATAACATCCATTTGTTTATCTAATTCGGGTATATAGGTACATACACCTTTTATCTTATGGCACATGCCACAAGCGGCTCTTAATAAAATACGTTGCTACCTACAAGAAAGCAGCAATAGTAATGTTATCTAACTCAATTCCTACCTACCAACCCAGGTTCCCGGGATGATATTGGATGCCACTGGACATGACAGATTCACCCTACGTTAATTTGATAAGTACTTGCCTTCATACATAATGTACGTACACAGGCATCTAGTTGACCTACCTAGATAGACTACCTACTTAAGTACCCTACAATGTGTCTAAGGTATGTACCTTGGTAGTACCCCAACCGAGCTCTACCCCAACGCTTCCCCTCCAACACCGAATTGTCAAATTAATTTATTCCCCCTGCTAGTCCTGTCCAAGTCCCCGATACCACCCTCCGATCGGCAGAAAATGCCCCGCGTAGTAATCTAGCTTCACCGCTTTAGAACAGCATGGGGACCACAGGTTTAGGTTGGCCATTCAAGCTGCACGAAGGTCAGGTGTAGGTAGACCTCCTGTTGCTAGATTCACTTAAATACAAGTAACTAGCATAATTAATTACTGTAGTGTGTTGTAGTGTATAAATATCTAACCTACCTATCTACAAAAAAAAAGATAAAAAGAATGATTTAGAATGTTCCTAAGCCCGGGATTTAAACCCGGAGTTGCGGCCCCGCATGCGGGTCATAGCCGACATACATGAGTGGCAGTCGCCGTGTTACCATTACACCAGCTTGGGTCGTGCTTTGTTTGTTGATAGGCAGTTTATTGCTTCATATTAAATATAAAAAGCTTATCAAATTTGTTAAAGTTTGGCTAGTTTGAGATCAGATACAGTATAATAAGGTTCTTCCTGCCTTCCAGGATCTTAAGTATAAGTCCATCTCCAGCTATCAGCTAGTCGCAGCCCTCCTCCACCTTCAATTCATACACATCATCCATTTCAGATCCATTTCAGCTGTTATTTGGCCTACAGTAATAATTGAGGGCCTGCTTTCCAGGGATTGCGTCGTCCACACTGGAAATATTTTCCGATGCGTTTTCACCGTGCCTGGAACCCGAAAACTCGCCGTTACTAGACCCGGTTTGCGGTAGCGAAATATCTGACCCAGAACCGTCAGAGGTTGCACTGTCTTTTGCACGCTTCTTTCGTTCCCCTAGCTCAAAGTTGGAATATAAGAGATATTGATAGACATAACCAAAGGCAAGAAATGCCTTTGATTAACAACGACTGCCCTAGAATAACGTCAAAACTTGACTAGGAAGCATGTCATGCGAACTTATACTTGAGCAAGCTAATGAGAGTGGCATCAATACAGAGTCATCTCGCAATGGTCCCGGTGTAAGAACATAACGCTTAAGCATAAATGTAACGCAGCGCCATCATACCCAGCTGGCTTAGCGCCCATCGGAGGCAAGAGGATGTGTGTTATACTGTACAAGATAACCGAATACAGGTACTGTCTCGCTTTCCAGTTAAATCATTTCCTAGTCTCTGATCGTACAATTTGCAGCTTCATTCTATGAATTGTGAATAATATGTCCAGTTAATTAAAGTGTAAGTACAATATATAATCTACAGCTTTAGCTAGAATGTTAATTCTAGAAACCTCTTTAACCTGCTCTCTATGTTGGAATGGCAGAACCATACCAAGCGAGAAAACCCCTAATAAGGCAATATATTGGTATATAGGTAGGTAGGTATATATATGGTAAATCATGATAGAATATTGAACATTGTATACCACCAAAGATGATGGATCTTATCACTCTATCTTAAATCCCTATATGTTGGGATGTAGATGATAGCCTTCTAGATCATGGAGTACACGGCAGGACGTACCCCTTAGGGAATAAGAGAGCTCTTTTCAGGTATGAAGCAACTGTATCGCACGGCAAAATCATGGTTTAGTGCTACCCAAGTTCCTGCTAGGTTCCTCGTGCCATCTGATTCATAAATAACGGGGCTTTGGCAGACACAAGACTTTTCAAGTAGCTAGGGATTAGGCTTATGGAGAGACCGAAAGTTGAGATTACTTGTATATTGTGAGCATATTTATTGCTATAGGTAGGTAGACTCGGACTTTCGGTTAACTTGGTAATTACTCTGCTTACTGGAGAGTCTGCCCTGTGAGATCTCAAGTCATACCTCTTGCCAGATCCCTGGTTCGTTGAGTAACAATCAACGTCATGTATCCCGTTCCTCCCCCCGGTGCTATTGAACCAGGATTCTGCTTTTTAGAACACATAATTATACAACACCATCAGCTTTGTTCGAATATAAGACTGCCAATACCTGTCTGATATACAACCGGCGACGAAATTTTGGATCCTGTGCGGGATAGATGTCAAGTCAACAAGGGGCTGTACAAGGGATTGAAAATATGGAAGGAAGAAAAGGGTTAGGTATTATTGGACTAAGAACAATGACCTCTAGAGGGCTCTCCTTCGAAGTTTTAGGGCTTTTACGTCTCTTTTGTATGTATCAGCACAATAGTAGGCATTCGTTTTGTAGTGTCATCACCTCCGAGTATCTCTGTTTCCGGCATGTAACAAGAAACCACCTTTGGACATAATTCCTAGTGCTGTATGATACAACACTATCATCAGAAGAGGTTAATAAACCCCTTAAGACTCATCTTAACCATTTCTCCTTTTCGAGGCTATGGCATGTTTCCTTATTGCCCTATAAGTTTACCTATTCCCTATGATTTTCACACTCTAAACTAAAAGGCCGCACCTTATTAATCTCAAGCATCAAGAGGTCTGGTAATGTTGCAGTGTGCTATATATGAGCTAATTGCCAAAAGGAAATTGGCGTTCGCTTTGCCTACATAAGGTAGACACGTCTTTAAGCATGTTTCTGGTTTCATAGTCACTCATGCAAGCGAACGCCTTGGAAGTCCAGCGCATACAAATCCCTATTACCTATGAATTATAGTAGTAGTAGGGCACGTTGTCAAGATGAGATGAGATAGTGGAATTGCTCTGGAAGGGGTAGGTGTAGCATTAAGAGACATGATAACAGGAAAATAATTATCCAGTAGTCTCCTAAGTTGGAAACCGGTGTCTTAGATTGCAGTTGCAAGCTCACCTTTCGCCTGGAACATTAGGTGATATAAACGGTGTTTATTCGCGAGTTAGGATGTACTCATATCTTATTGTCTCCAAGGAGAGCATCCCTTAAAGAGATCGTCAGATTGCCGAAATAAAGGCCCGAGTTTAGAACTGAGACTCATGCATTCTGATTGTCGAAAGAGGGCTCCAACTGCGCCTTTGGACGGGTTGTTGACCAGAGCCCCTCCCAGCTTTAGTATTACGTGCATTTGCGCCTAACCACTTTTTTTCGATCGACAAGTCTTCTGGAACATTTCTAGGGACCACTCGGGATCAGAAGATACCTACTATACCTAGCAAATAGTCGGATCATTGTTTCGCTCAACACCGTTTCCTCGTGCAGTGGAAGCTACCGCCTTTGACTACGGCTTACGTGAGAGTTGGGCACTTGCATGGAGAGGGGAAAAGAAAAAAAGGCTCCGAGACAAACAGTCATCTATGAGGGGTTGAAGACCTGAATGCGTCTAATTTGGGGGTACGTCCAACTAACTTAGCACATTTACCGGCTCAATTTGGACCTGCTTCGCTCCCGTGCTGGTTATATCTACTAGGGTTGGATTTAAACTGGCCACGATAAAGTGCCTAGGTAGGTAGTGTAGATGCCGGAATGCATGCGGAAGCATGAGGGGTTAACGAAATGCTATTTCCAGCCCTATGAGCCTTTTTGAACTAATAGTATCACATTTGCAGGTTAATAAGTGGGAAGTGAATGAACATCTCTGTAGGTAGGTGGGTAGGTGATGAAGTGATGAAGTGTGCTGGCGTCAGCATGCCTAACCTCATCACATGGGTGGCCTCGGAATGGAATGCAACCGACTTTAAGACCTGGCCATGAGTCTGGTTAGCAGCGCAAGTATTGGCCAACATTACGATACAGAATTTCAATGCTAAATAGATGAATCCTACAAGATCGTGATAACTAAGTATTATCGATTTGAAAATTGACAATTGCCCAAGATTTTATTTTATCTTAGGTAGGTATGTTAGTACTTACCTGTCTACCTACCTAGGTATTTATTATTCATATTTTATTACGAAAAGTCTTTTGCAAATGTGATACCTATCAAGAGGCGACATAGTAGCAATAAAAAATAAAACTTACCAAGCATATTGCTTTTACGTGGCATGATAGCGTAGTATTTCAGCTGCTTCGTTAATGTAGTTCATTGTAAAAAAGTCCACCACAGTGAAGCTATGTATCAAGATGATCGCTGCGATTCTCTGCCATGCGGAGCACAGACAACATTGACATGCAGGTATTATAAACCTGATTATCTACACTACTGTTTGGGACCTTTCCCTCCTACCAAGTGGAGTTAAAGGCCGGCTCTTCTAGCCCTATAGTTGATGTATAATTCGACCTACATAGCTAGGTTAGAGCATGACAATACGATTCTGTAAGTCCCGAGAGGATTCATGATTCCACGTTTTACCCCCAGGTCCCAGGCCGACCACGTTCTTTACCCTGGCTACTCTGTCCAAAACAAGCATGTGCAAGGCTTACCACCCACCCAGCGGACATGGATTTTTGTATAGTGTAGAAGGTCTGTCGCTCGATATGATTCGTCAGATTCCTTTTTCGCTCACGCCTACCTACATGCGAAGAACGCCCGGACTTGGAGGGGAAGGGCGGGCAAACTAGCCAAGGTGGTCAGCTTAAATAGGGACTTTCCCCCCAGTTAGTGGACGGTCGCATATGGCTAAGACGATTCCAACATAGTTGTACTTCTAGGTAACATCATCTATCTCCCCAGATCAATGCCTTAGAAGCCGCTGCATTTACAGTTGCTTTCAGGGAAATCAGGGGTAGTTTATATTGAATATCAAATACCTATATTTCATCGTTTTAATTGTCCCAACCCATCGCGATGGGACACGCTAAAAGTCATGGACAATCTGCGGCTGAATAATGGTAGTATTGTTATCCTTACCTTACGAGAAGGGTGTTGATGAAGTAGGTATTCTGTCTCCTACATGTTTCAACTTAGACTCTTCCAGCAGTGAAGAACACAGCTATCTTACATGACCTAGGCATACGCTCGCACATTTGGATATCGTATGAGGAGTAAGTGAGTACCCAAGTAGAGACCTCCCTAGCATTGCCTTCGTTTCTCGCCGTTAACCATGGTTATTTTGTCCTTACTCTCTCGGGCACCACTCCTCCCGTAAAACCCTGACCTAACTAGGCAACCCGTAACCCGGAACACTCTAGCGGGAGGTGGCTTAATACGTGGGTAGAAGGTAAGCATGCCCATGCTAGCTAGGCAGACCTACTACCTATACCGTCGCAGTAAGTAAGACGATAGAGTGGTATTGGAGTGGTTGCCCCTTGCACCATTATCGTAAATGCTGGCTGCACCAGAGTGGCGGGTACTAGGCATGATCCGCATTATTGGTAGTTTCTACCGAGTGGCATGGGCAAAGTCGAAGCCAGCAATGCTAGGAAAAGCCCAACGCTAAAGCTGACGCTGATCTTATTTTAAAAGCACGCACTCCCCAGGTTCGCGAGGGCGAGGGTACTGCCAGGTCGCTTGGCTGGCAGAAAAGTTACCCGGGACTCAACACAGTTGGTAGTTGAAGCTACCTACTACGTCCAGACCCGTTGCCTTATATCCTATGACC